TTGCAAATATCTCAAAAACGGTACCATAGAATTAAAAATAACCTTGATTTTCGGAATCAGGGGGTGATTTTACATAAGAATTTCATAACGGCGTTTCTGGTAAAGAGAAAAAGTTGAAATTTGTGGTCCAGTGTTATCTGTAAGTACGTACGCATTTCTTATCAGCGACTGTTGAAAAATATTCAATTAGTAAAGTAAGACTTAAATGACAGCCTAAAGGGTAGCTAGACCTCGCATTTGAACTTTTAATCATATGTACACGTGCAAAATGTATTTCTAAATTAAATTAAATCAAAATTCGAATCACTTTACTCACCAAATCCAAGCAGACACATAAAAATCAAGGCAATGAATCGATGTACACCACTCGTGGGATTGCAGCACATCGATGAACCACAGCCGCTGGACTGCAAATCCAGTTCGTTGTCCTGTGGACTGCGCCGTGCCACAGAGGCTGGCGACGGTGGGCGTGCCTCTTCATTGTCCACTATGGGCAATACATCATTACTCGTATCGGGCATGTTTCGGCAAAATTATACGCAAATCTTGGGTACACTAAGTTCGTTGTTTAAGCCGATTTTTTCAACTACACAGATTTCAAACTAAATTTGATTTGCGCGTTTTTTATTTCGCACAGCTATTGTAAATGGCGTAATGGTTGCAAGTGTCACGCTAACCTAACTCCAACTAATCAGCAATTCCAAGAGTTAATTGTGTTGTGCGCTGGCTGTAAGCGCTTATCTCGGACTGGCGGCAGTGTTGGCGTGGATGCGACAATCAATAGTCGGCTGCTGAATGCGTCTGAGCGCAATTATGTACTTCCTAGATGGTTGGTTGTTTTGTTGTCGCTTCTTTCTGGTGATTGTAGTGATTTGTTACTTGTTCTTGTTCTTGTTGTTGTTGTCGTTTTTATACTTGTACATACAGTGATTATTATTATTTTTTTAATATTGATTATATTAACTTTTGTTGTCTGCGTTTATTTAGAGCATGTTGAGGGGCGTTATTGTTTTGTAATTTAACATTACACGAACAAAAAGCAAATATTTATCAAAATTGTTCGTACGCAGATATTTCACTTCTATGAAAGTGACAAATCTATGGAAATGTTTGCCACTTAACGCATACAAGGCTTGACCGCTGTGCAGACTTTAAACCGCAGTTGGAAGTTGAAGTTTTATTGCACTCGCACAAATTGTGTATACAAATGTGTTTGCGTTTTACAATATTCTTTCCACTACTAATCGGCACAGTCGTACGTACGCTTATCGGACTTAGACCCGCTATATTTCCTTTCGATAATACAATTCAGACCGCGCTCGATGATCAACTCAAAGCGTGCGCATACACTCGAGCATACATACATACATACACTCAAACAAAACAAAGGCAACGACGACTTGTTATTTGGCTGAGTGCACAACTTTGTGACTTTGTGGGGATGTGTGTAGTTCTCGTTTCAAACTGCAAGTAAAAGAAATACACAATCTTTATTAATTAGGTATAAAATTTTATTAGAAAACAAAATCCAACTAAATAGTGCATTACAAGGCTAATAAATAAGCTGATGAGGGCATAATCATGAAGGCATTGTTTATTAATCAGCAAATGCATGAAAATATTGTACAAATGTATGTATGTATGTATGTGTAATTAAGTAAGCCAGCACCTAAAAACAAAATTATTCAGCACTGATTCGGCGAGTCATGATTCATTTTCAACTTCAGTGTTTAGTTATCTATTTTCCTTAACATTTACATATTTACATATCTATATAGTATATCTGTACATGCTACGAGTATATGAACATGGCATCAGTGCTGACCGTATGCATCAGCTTACTGGGGCATGTGTTTTATAAGCGTGTGTCTAATTTCTGGCTGACGTAGGCGAATTGTTCAACAATTCGCACACCGTCTTCAAAAGAGACACAACTAAAAATTTGGCATTTTTGAGATTATGCGCTAAAAATATACGTAGAGCTTTTATTTACCTTTCAAAACCTAATTTGAAAAAAACCTAATGTAAAAAGTCGCCCTTGCCCATAAGGTTATCATGTGCTAAGAAATAGTTTTTCGCATTTTCTGACAAACGTATTATTTTGAGTTGTGACTCTTTTGAAGACGGTGTGCGAATTGTACTTTCACGCATGCATGTATGCAGGGGCGCACCGAGGAATATATTTTAGGGGGGGTTTTATATTCCTGGAGATATATCACCGGAAAATACTGAAAATTTGGTTCAGATAATACCCTCTTTAATATACATTTATGCATGTTTTATGTACAGTATGTAATAAATAAATAAACGTTTTAAAATTCATAAACTGCACTTTATTTACAGATTAACAGAACTCAAACGCTTTTAACCGACTTCAAAAAAAAGGGAGGTTATCATCTCGCCGGAATATACATAACTTTGGACCACGTGAACCGTTTTCAATAATCCTTTTTTTTTATTAGAAAGATGTACCTCAAGGTTCGTCCCGTAGTTTGTTTTAGAGATCCGATGATTGGATCATGAAGAAATTAACGGTACCCCTAAATTTGAATATGAGAATTGAAGTCGGTTGTGTTCTTTCCTTAAAAACTACTTGCTTAATAAAAAGTTCTATAAACTCAAGATGCGCTCAACTTTCAAAAGTACCTAATACAAAATTTTAAAAAAGAGTCAGTAAAAATAAATTTATTGATTCCATGAATTTTTGCACTTCTATGTTCATTTTTTCGATTTCTGGTTTTCGATAGAGATGGTGATTTTTCACGATTGCTAAATTTTTTTAATATTTCAAATACCGAAAAAATTAATTGAACTCTCAAGAAAAACGAAAAATTCATATAAAACGACGAACGCGAAATGGAAAAGAAATTTTCTTCTACCAAAATTTCTTAAATCAGTTTGCAGCTCTCAAGAAAAAAAATGCTCGTATATTTATTCCCTCATGAAAATTTACAGCAAAAGCAAAGCGCTTTTTCAAGCAACAGAAATTATAATAAATATTTCTTACAATTTCCTTGAGAGCTGGACTCTTGGCTTTAAGATACAGATTGTATTTGACGTTATTAGCTTTTGGGGGGGTTTGAACCCCAAAACCCACCCCTTGTGTGCGCTAATGCATGTATGTAAATGTATACAAAATATGTCTACTTATGTTACTTAATATACATATGCTTATAGCAAATAAAATGTATGTACATACATATCGTCGCTTGGGTAAACGATTGTCATAAGCGCCATTTTGACAATTTTTAGTTCTAGATGCAATTATATATTTTGAAACAAGGTCATTCCATTGGTGTTATCAGTTTTTAGATATCTCCTTTAGTTTCCGAGAGACTGACTACAATTTTTTCGATAATTTAGTAAACATGCAACAAGTGATGCAGTCATATTAAACGAATCAATATCTTAGAAATTGTGTTCTCCATTTTTGTATATCTCCTTCAGTTTCCGAGATATTGAGTAAAAAGTGTCGTTAATTTAGAAGAAATTTTGATCTCATTTGGTCGTACTTCATACAAAGTGGGTGGCAAATTGTGGACAAATGGCGAAAAATTTTTCCTAAAGAAACTCCTTCATCAACTCAAAACTAATTAACAGTAAACATTAAAAATTAAATAATAATTTTTAGAGACTTTGGAGAAAATCTATCTTCGCGTTTTTGAGAAAACGTATTCCAAACTTCAAACGCGATTTCCCCCAACCTACCGAAATTAACATACGACAATCTTTTACCCAGGCGACGATATGTATATCCACTAAACCGTTCCATCTTACAAATAAACAAAATAATGTTCGCCTTACACCCCTGATATTGAAATATTTTTGCAAGGCAATTTCGAAAAAAAACATGTTGTTGTGTAGAACCTGGCGGTCGCCTTTTTACATTTTTCGGTGAAACCTATACATGCACATTTGGCAAAAAAAAGTGGTAAATAATTCTACAAGCATAATCAACAATTTATCTTAGCAAAAGTTGAGTGATTTTTGGAGGCATTTAATTTACTGACATTAGGGTGGCACGTTAGGGTGAGAAGCACTTAAGTAGATCTGATGGGCGGCAAGTACTAGAGTGGAGTACTTGAGGTCAATGAACTTTGAAAAAGAAATTTCTCCTCGAGACATAACAATCGATATATTTTACTTTAAGGTCCAACTGTAAACGCCAAAGATATGACAAAAAATGTAAAAAATGACGAAAAATTTTAAAAAATTTCAAAATGGTCTTGCAAAAATACTTTAGACTCAGGAGTGTCCGGTGAACTAGTTTCCTGGTACGGTCTATGGACCATTGAGTTTATTACAAATATTTTGTAAAAACAAAGATGAGTTTCTTGCGTGGGAATAGGGCCATAAATCACTATCCAAACTGATTAATAAACTTCTTTAAATCGTTTTCAAATAGACATAATAGGAGATCCCATAAGGGCCACGACCTTCATCCATCTGTTTAATGACTGAAATCTCTTTGTATGAAATATTACGTGTTAGGAAATATAGCGAATGGGTTGGCTAAAAAATCTTGGCCAGGTTATTTTTAATTGAATATTCAAAAATTAATTTTCTTTTTAAAATGTACACTCATTTGTTTAATGGACAAATTTTTTTTCAGTTTTTAGTACCAAAATTGTCATCATGACCAATGTCATCTACTAGTAAAGCACAAAATGGACACCTCCGACGACGCATCAAGCTGTCAGTTGCAAAATAAAGTGCCGCCGAAGTTATTTCTAAGCGCCTAACTACTCCGAGCGACTGCTCTACATTCTACGTAACTTACTTTGTAAAGCGGCTCAGAAGTATGTCTGATACCAAATGTGCATTCTAAATTCCTACTTACATAAGACGCAACGGCTTTGTAAAAGTTAGGGAGATTCGTCAGCGAAGTAGTAAGGACCGCCGGGTGAAGAGCTATACCTTACTCACTTCACCCGGCGGTCCTTACCATTTTCCGAGTGAGTATGAACAAAAGGTCCATTCAATATCAAAAAATCGTTACGAATTGTTGTTAGTGCTTGCAAGTTTGTACTGGGAATGCATTCAATAACCCAAAATAGTTGCAAGAGGGAGCGAATTTGAGAGCGTAACAACCCGAGAGAGCTGCAAATCCTTGCAAGTAAAAATTTTACTAACAGGAGTTTGCAGGAGTCAAAGAGTAAGGTTATGTTTCAAATTCAAATGTAAATAAACTGTTTAAGAGGATGATTTGATGAAACATAATTAGTGAAATGAAAATATGGATGAAAAATTTAAATCTATTGTATATTTTTTTTTATTTTTATGACGATGGGAACTATTCCCAATTAAAAAGAAAATTGCGCGTCAAAACTTAGCCGTCAGAAAGTGTCAAAATGGCTTAAGTTGCAAGTTTTTACTAGTTTTGCGTTCAATAACTTTTTCTGAAAATTTTCTCTTGCTCTCAATTTTACTCTCTATTTTTCTTTACCGCTCTCGCTGCAAGTACTTACTGAAAAAGTTATTGAATGGACCTATATGTACAAACAAAGCCATCCAGCAAAATCATCGTAAACAAGCTCGTAAATGGATATTTTCTCGAAGAATATCGGATAAAAAGTCGTTCATGATAGCCGTTTACGATTCTTTTCTAGTACTTTTTCGCTTGAAATTCTGGAGTGCCTACGAACAGTACGGTGACCATATTTATGAGAGCCGAATCCGGGACAAAAAATAATTTTGCAAATTTGTTCCACAACAGCTTACAGATCTTAAAGCCTTCTTCAATGATCCTAGATGTATTAGCCCTTAAACAGTATCCTTATAGTAACATAACGAATTTGTAGAATAATTTTCTCGAGATTTTTACCCCGTAAAATTTGTTAAAGAAATTAGTTAAATTTTAAGGTAATGAAGTGCAATTTTAAGTTCTAAGGCTTACCAACAATTTTTGGCATTTTTTTTTTTTTGTTGACGGTGTTACGCATTTGTTTCATACAAAGTAAGTATGTTCGACCATTTTGCAAATGAGCAGCACTTTTCACTCGCACTTCATAATACTCAATTTTTATGAGTTACAAAACTGCAAACGAAATTTTTTTCTAAAGATTCTAATTAAAAAGTTTGAAATTTTGGTGAAACCTTACAGAATTAATTTTTATAGTTTTTTGCACAAAGTTGGAAATTTGGTAGCATATGGCTTTTGTTAGGAAAAGAGCTTTACTTTCCTAAAATAAATAATAAACATTAAATAAACTTAGAAAAAATAACCAAAACTTAATAAAATGCTATTTCAGTCACTGTATGTATTCCTCGATTCGAATCACAGACATTCAGATTAGAAATAATAACTCTTTATGGAAAAAATTAGTATCATATATACTCCAACATCATTTAAAACTCGTTCATAGGCATGCCGTTTTAATGAGCTGTTAAGGCGTCAAAACGCCGAATACGGGACAGATACAGGACATTAAAAGAAATACAGAACATTTGGCGTCCCGTATAAA